CTCGACAGGAAGATAGAGTTCAGCTTGCCGGACCTCGAGGTCGGAGCGCTTCCCTTTTCCCTGTTACGTGTACTGGGACGTGAGAGCTTTCCGTCCCTCCAGACTATTGTCTGGAAGCAGTCTAGAAGAGTTAACAAACGTGGCACCATCGTGTGCAACATACCTAGGAGTCTGGAGGATTAAAGGTGCTTCTAAGAGGTTTTCCCACATTGTAGAGATTCCATCCCTGTTGGGGGAGCCATGGAAAATACTGTATTCACTGTCCATTTCTAGCTCAACAGCTAAAGAATCCTTTAACCTGCTCCCTGATTTCCTTCTGAAGCTGGAATGTGGTTAATTTAGTTTCTTGAGAGAGATTTCTTTAGGTATTTCTAACATTAAAGTTATTGTGGTTATTTCCTTCATTTCATGTAAGGAAAACGCTTAGTTTTCCATTGCTCAAACATCCTAGTCCAAACATAGGAAATGGTAGTTAGGCAACAACTGAGAGTTGTGTTTTCTGACTGTCCTTGCTCTGAAGGAGACACTCTAAGAGCAGCTCATATCTTTTCCACAGCATGAACACTTCTGTCTTCTCATCTTTTCCAGGGGAGGACTCACATATTCAAGATACACGCGCGTTCCATGAGTGTTGAAAGAGACATCAGGTTTGAGCTGCTGGCTCGGCTGTGTCCTAACAGCACAGGTAACCTGGTCGCCTTAAACAATTTCGTGTGCTTTATTTCCATTTACGATCGTGCTGAACTCCCTTATCCCTTGCTTGGAAGGGGCTGAGATCCGCAGCGTCTGCACGGAGGCCGGCATGTTTGCCATCCGAGCGCGCCGCAAGATCGCCACCGAGAAGGACTTCTTGGAAGCCGTGAACAAAGTCATTAAATCGTACGCGAAATTCAGTGCTACCCCCCGCTACATGACCTACAACTAATTCCTGGGAACAGTTCTCTTGTTCCCTTTTTTCCACTTCCTATTAAATAAAAGTCCATATGTAGTAATGCATTCCTTTCTCGTGGAAGCTGGAAATAAAGGGAATGTTCCAAAGGAGAGGGGAGTTTGGTGTGAGTGTGTTCTGCACTAGTGCAGCCTGGGGGCCGGGCCAGCGCCACAGGCAGCAAGGGGCTTTCAAGCCAGGTGTAAGAGGGGAGAATGGAGGGAGGATGGGGCCCAACTCTTCTCGGTGGTGGCTAGTGACAGGACAAGGGGTAATGGGTATAAGTTGAAGCACAGGCAGTTCCACCTCCATGCCCAGAGAGGCTGTGGAGTCTCCTTCTCTGGAGATCTTCCAAACTCACCTGGATGCCACCCTGTGCCACGTGCTCTGGGTGTCCCTGCTGGAGCCAGGGGCTGATCTCTAGAGGTCCCTTCCCCACCTCAACCATTCTGGGATTCTGGGGCATCTGAGCACTGTTGTGGCTGCAGCTTCCCAGGCCCCACGGACAGTCCTCGAAGTGCCCTGGGTGCAAGGGGAGCTCTGAAAGATGCCTGTGGGGCCGGTGATGCTGGGTGCACTCCAACGAGCTTGGTGCCAAGCAGTGGGTGCAGGTGGAGCCCAAAAAATAGGAACCACATGGGAGAAGGCCCCAGGAGGAGGTGCTGGCACCTCGCTACACTAAGCAGAGGTGCCAGCGGTTGGATGTTGCCCTGTGCAGCTTTGGTTGAGGTTCTGGTTTTTTGTGAAGTGCTGTGTCAAGAGGCAGGAAAAAGTGAGCATGATTTTATAGCCCCAAAGA